AATTTTTGGCCCGATTTTTTGCAACAAATATTCAAATTCACTTTCCGACATTCGAAAACAATTTCTGAAACCTCCGTTACATCTGTATTCAAGGTTCAATAGATCGATATCATCCTTTTTCAAATCTTCCATCAGGTTACTACCGATATACCAATTTCTACTTTGAAGGCTTGGTCGAACCCACAATCTTCTTTTACGCGATGATTTACGTTTTTTAGTTGTGTTAATAACAAATGCGGTACAAACAATAATGGCGTCATCTTCGTCACACATTTTCGTTTCAATGTCAACTCAATGAGGACGCCGCTTAATATGTTGCTCCAAAAATTTGCTAACATAATGCATAAAACTATTATCCTTTATTTAATATTTAGTTTATTGTAGATACGAGTAAATGTATTTCTATCGCACATATTTATCTCTTCTTGTAATGTTTTAGTAGATTTAGGCACAGTGCTTATACCTGTTTCATCATAATTGTAAATGATTTCTGCATTAAAATTATAACTATTGAAACTGGTTTTAAAAAATCAAAAACATTGTGATTTGTTCTTTATTGAAACCTAAGGCTCTATTAGAACTTGTGGCTTCAGGTTTTTGAAAAGACAGTCCAGGATTTGTTTTTAAAAAACCTTACAGCCAATTGCATATTTTTTAAGTTTTATTGAATGGATGCTTAATTTTTAGCCTTTCTGCAAGTTCATAGCCTGTGCGTCTAGCATATAATAAGACCATAGAGACCAAGACCAAGAGAGTAAGACCATAAAAACTGGACTGCATCTCTAACAAATGTGTTACTAGTAATTGTACATTGGGATTGGGATGTTTTCTTCCAGTTGCTTCATTTGTCTACGTAAACAAGTTTTCGGTATTTTAAATCTCCAAACAGCTTCTCTAATAATTGTCCCGTAACGTATTACCCTAATAGTGGCTTGCGCATTCTCTTGCGGTCAATCATTTGATTTTAAACGTTTACAATTTCCCATACTTTTGGCTTCTAAAATGAAAATAAACCAATCGCAAAGCCAACCGTTGGAAGTTTTCGGAATTAAGTTTGAGTTTGCACGTTTCGCATATGAGCAAATATTCGCGTTTTTTTGGTTTTATTTTCTGTTCATTTTTTAGATACATTATTTAATTCTAAGGCAGTATAAGGTTTGTTGGTAAGCGCAAAACTTAACAACGCATTGACCAATGTCAACATTTTTTTTTAAATGTTCCTTTAGGTCTAAGGATGGTTTTCACTGCATGACAAATTCTAATCATTTCCGGAAAAATTTAAGAGTAAATTTAAACTTTATTGCTTTTTAATAAAGTGTATATTAAATTACGATCCCTCACTGTTGCCTAAACAATCTATAATATAAAAATGAATTGCAAAATGTGTTGGTAAGCGTATATCTCAATAACGTATGGAATAATCTTAACAATTCTTTTTTAAAATGTTACTTGAAGTCGAAGGATAGTTTTTACGGCATGAAAAATTTGAATAATTTCCAAAAAAACCTCAAAACTGCCCTTTTCTTTTTCTCATACAAAGATTTTCTATTTTCACTCACTGTTGTCTAAACAACGTAAGTGTGTTCCTAACGTCGAAGATTCAATTTGCGCTTTATTGTCACTGCACAAAAATAAAATTCAATCAAATATATGTGTGTGCACGTTGGTGTTTGTGCGCGTTCGTGGGTGTGCGTGTTAGCGTTGAAGGATCCAATGCGTTTACACAAAAGTGATAATATCGTGAACCCGACCAAATTAAAAAGTCAAAAAATGTAAGAGCTACAGATTTTATTGGCCTCATAATATTCTTTCTTTTGTTAAAATTTCGGAACGCGATATCAATTGCATCAGTTTTCACGTCGTTGCATATATGAAAACAAACCGATGTTTGTCTCCAGAAAGTGCTCCCAGATGTTATTCAAAATTACAGAAATCATAAATGGTTGAGCAAACGGGCTATATTGGCTGCAAAAAACATAGATGTAAATGAGTTGAATTTTAAAATTCAAGAATAAATTACAGGCGAATTGAGGATATATAAATCAGTTGATTCGGCTAATAACTTAGATGATACAGTTAACTATCCGCCTGAATTTTTAAACTCGCTGGATTTACAATGATAACCACCTCACAATCTTTAATTAAAGGTTGAATCGGTAGTTATAATGTTGAGAAATATCAGCCAACCGCGTATTTGCAACGGCACACGGTTAGCGATAAAAAAATTAATAAACAACGTGATAGAAGCAACTATACTGAAAAGAAAGTATAAAGGAGAAGATGTTTTGATACCTCGCATTCCACTGATATACCATTTGAATTTTAACGACTACAGTTTCCAGTACGGATTGCTTTTACTATGACCATAAATATGCCCAGGGGCAATCATTAGGGGTTTGTGGTATTAATCTAGAAAACCCATGTATCTCACATGGTCAATTCGCCCTTTCGCGTGCAAACGGAGATAAGTCCAAAATTGCCATTTTGAGATACAAACGTTTAAAATTTTTATGAATTTATAAGTAAATTTTAAATGAAACAACTTAAATCTAACTAAAGATGAATTAAAAACTTTATGTAATTTTACAAACTAAAGGAAAATATTAAACTGTAATTCTGAAAATCAATATAACATCAGAAAAAAAATAGTTATATCCAAATGCACAAAACTTTAGCGTACATAATCCTATCTGCACTAATCTTCATCTGGTATATCTTCTTCCTCTTCTGAACAGTAGTTTGCAACATCGCTCTGTGTAGGTAAGTTTTTATAGAAATCGTACAATACGTCATCTATATATGGTAATAAATCCATTAGATTATTTTGTTTCTAAAGAAATTGGATTTGGATATTTACATTTTGGTAGATTTAATGGAGGAGATGAGAAACCTCTTCTAAGAAAATTCATTGTTTTAAATGGTTCATCCTCTTTGTTACTATTTTTATATGCAAACAGTCCAAATTTTTTTTGATATCTAATCCATTCAACATCTTTCCAAATAAAGCGGTTACAGTCATTATCTACCTTTCTTATTTGTAATGAACTCTTTAGTAAACTTGCAAAATTAATAAAATCATTTCTGGTCATTTCTTAAACCTTAAAGGGATATCTTTTGCCACACAGTCGAACATGTTGATACCAGTCTCTTGGATGTTGAATTCGGCTTTCATATTTTTTCTTTTTTTTTCAATTATCGAATGGTCGCTATCACACTCCATCCTTTTGTGTCCTGGAAATAAAAATATATGTTCCAATGTATCGAGACCAGAATTAGCCATTAAGACCATAAACATTGCAATGAGATATATATATCCCGTTTATAGCGTAATCCGCCTTTGGGTTCCCGTTCGCCAAGCCTGTCTATTCTGCCAGTCTTCTTCAAATAGATTTCTTGCTGACATGGCTTTTGAAATTCCTTGCATCCATGTTGTTGGTGGTCGTCCTCGTTTTCTTTTCTCTGGTGGTACCCATTCTAATATTTTTTTTGGTAGTCTTTCTTCCCCCATACGTCTAACATGTCCGTACCATGTCAGTTGTTGTTTTTCGATGTCTTCTATAATTGATCTTTGTACATTCATTTGATTTCTTATGTCCTCATTTCTCACATGTTCTAATCGAGACTTTCCCGCTGCTCTCCTCCAAAAATCCATTTCAACTGCCAAGAGGTTACCTTTAAGTTTTTGTGATAACTGCCATACTTCTGAGCCATACACGATTACTGGTTTCAATATTGTGTTATATATTCGGTCGGCAATGAGATGCGAGTTTTTATTCTGCCCTCCACAAGTGTCCGAATACAATGTTATTTTTCTTACTTCTGGTGGGATTTCTAAGAGCTCTTTATACAAACAAGAAGCTATTTGATTGGCTTCACGACCAGAAATGGTTTCATACCACATACAACAAGTAGTATTGTTATTACCACAATTATGAATTGTAAGGTTGTACGTCCATAGTTGCCTTTTATAAAAAGCTATTGAAGTGTTTAGGCTGGGCGTGGGTTAACACTGCTGCAAATCAAAGGCAAAAACTCTCTGGGTGTTGTCATCTTGACAAAATATTTTATCTTTTCTTTTTGCTTCATATGCAGCCTCTGCTTCTTCTTAATGCCAATTTAGTTCTCTTTTTATTTTTTCCTTTTGTTCTTCTTTCTTTTTATTCACTATAGTGTTATGTAACTTCTCACAAGTTTGACATGTATCCTTACTATATCCTTTTAATGAAATGTTTATTCTATGAAAAATAGTCTCATATATCTTTCTACTTACGGGACTTCTAATCGTCTATCTCCAGTTTTTTCACGACAATAATGACTTTTGTATGTAGGTATAAGACCTTTATGTTGCTTTATCATGTCAATTCTGTCTGACCTTATTTTATTCGTAGGTATGTGGCTTTCTCTTTTATCTTCTTGTGTTATACCGGAGAAGCTAGTTTTTGTAATAACATTTTCTATAAACTTTTTACTGTTTACAATCTTCAACGAGCTCACCAGCAGTCTTGAAGTGATACTGATAGCTACAGGCTCTTATTTTTTATGAATTAAGTTTCATTGTCTTTTTTCCTGTCTCAAAATAAGGCATGAACAGTAAGCAACCCTTTAACTATAATCTCCCAAAATTCAGTAAATAACTGTTTACGTACCTTGTTATCAACTTTTTTACCGCATCCTTTTCGGCAATCTCCAAGTACCTTGCATTTTTTGCCTTTCATCAACTTATTTTTTAGGGTCACTTATTCTTTACCTGCATGTCTGTCCATTTTTCGTTTTTTCCTCATTACTCTAGTATCACCTTTTACCGATTCTCTTTCTCTTGTATTTTTGTTCAATCGATGTTGATCTATTGTATTTTCAAACGAAACCAATGGAATACTATTCGAGTATTCTGATTCAGGAAGTTCATAATCTGGATCCTTGTCACTGTCGTCGATATCGCTTTTAAAGAACTTAGTAATCCTTTCACTAGGTGCATCTGCAAAAACATTTAAAATACATAATTAATATTTGCTATTTTCTAAATAGTAACAAAACTGAACTCTGCTACAACCAGCTTCAGAAATGTCAGCTTTAGAAATATCAAAACGAGAATCGGTTTTTTCTTGTTTTTTCCTGTTTTCTCGTTTTTCACCTTCCAAATTAGAACATATAGCTGTATCACTTTCTGGTGTAATGGACTGGTCAATATTTACTTTGAGCTCAGCTGAAACAATAAGAAACATTGAAATATAATTTATTTTATAAATAAAAATTTCTAAAATTTCATTAACCCTTGACGAAATAAACTCAACGCCTTATTAGATCTTCATAAATTATAGCTAAAAACCATCTAAATAATTTATTGTGCCGTTTTTAAACAAAAAAAAAAACGTATCCTAATTTGGTTCATCTATTGAGGAGCTCCAATGCCACACATAAATACACAAACAAACAAATTATACCTAAAAGCTGTCTCGATTACGCCAGCTTTTAAATAAAAAACGCATTTAAATCGTCACAATCGTTGAGGAGCTACGATGTCATAGACACAGACACACGCACAAACATAAACATAAACATACACACACATATACTAAACGTATAACTCATAAGTGATAACACTTCTGTTTTTGCGACGGAGGTAAAAAAATACTCATTACTTACCTTCTAAATTTATTGCCCGTTCTTTCAGAGAGGCAAGAAATTCTCGTCTTTCTGCAAATATTTTTACTAACGATATTTTTACTAACGTTATTAACCCTATGTTAATAATAATAATAATAAATAATTAATTATCTCTACGTTTTGTTATTGAAGCACCCACTTTATAAATATTTGTCACCTTAAGGTTTTCACTATCCCTTTAGAATATTTTTTAATCAGGTTTCAGAATTTTTTAATTCGCGGTCCAAAAGGGTGGCCAAAGTTCGTCAAGGCGAAGATACTTAGGTCACACGAGCTGATCCTCACACACCGCCCTATCATCATGGTGACGGTTCTGTTCAGGAGAATTAAAAAAATAAACTTCCAAATTCCAAATCTATTTGATAGAACAACGTCTGTCTGGTCCGCTAGTCTTTAATAAAACTATATTATACATCAGTAGTTATATTGATGCAAATTCTGTTTATTCACCATGTAAAAAGCTTTAACAAAAATGTAGATTGTGTATCTTAAAATAATTTATATCTCGCGTCTCATACAATATAAAATATCATAAATAAAACATTTACAACCTACTGGCACTAAAAATAATACAAAATTATGTTGTTCGATAAATCCCTAGCTCAAAACATAAAGTCGTGAAAGAAAATAACTGGTTGTAAATCAAACAAGCCAACATAAAAATGCTACTCTTAATAATATCGATTTTAATTTAATGCAAATCAAATAAAATCTGTGCCGGGAGTGTTTCTGCATTAATTTTAATATAAATAGGATATCTGGTTATTTGGTATGAAATTGGCATAGTGGAAAATACATAACAAACTTAAATACAAATAGAATTTTTAAATTTTGTGCACGAGGGAAAAACTATTTTGAAATTTTTAATTTACTTCAATTAGCTTTAAAAATGTATATGCACATCTACGTTGGTATACAAAAACCGCCGAACTTAAAAATTTAAAATTTTTAAATTTAATTAAAAGCAATCCAAAGGTAGAGTGATAATATTTCAAAAAAATAAAAATTAGTACAATATACTGAGTGCCAAAAAGGTTACTAGTCCAGTATCTCGGGCAGAAATAGATCCTTACCTCCAAATTCTGTTGTACTGCATGGAATTAGCTGGCAATTTGGATTTTATCTTGTCTTACCCTCCTTTCCAAAAGTTGTAACGAAATATTTTGCCTACGACATAGGGTATTACTATAAGGGGTTAAAAACTGGGGACAGAAATTATTGGCGTTAGAGATAAAGCAAGAAAAATAAACGAAACTTATGCGAACGGCGCTCAGGGTTTATTTGGAGAGGTGGGCTCATGGATAAGTAAATTGCAAAGGTGCTGGTTTGGGACAACTACAAAAAATGCAACAAAGAAGTACTTACATGAATCTCCTGGACAAATGGACAAACGAAACAACAAGAAGGACCTCTAGCTATTTAAAATGGGACGCCGCTTCGAGAAAACATCCTGCTGGATGAAAGAATGGTTCTTTGGTTCTAAAAGACACAAAAGGGAGATTAGAATCTTTTTTAAAATAAATAGACAAAATTGTTTAGAGAAATAAATTAAACATTAATTCTTGTCTCACCATAAACAGTTACAAATATAGATAATACAAAAATATCAAAAACAGACTTACTTTATCCTATTTCTCATATAATAATAGTTACCAAAAAATAAATACAATAACAAAGGAAAACACTAACTATGTTCTACCCCTTTATAAACTCTTGGAAGTTGGAGATACTGCAATACTTCAATACCTATTTATTGTTAATGTACCTAATAATGAATTGTAAAATTTTACTGGGCTATAATCTGTGGCAGAAATAAATTATTACAAATAAAGAAAATTTTTTTTAAATAAACTATGTATAGAGGATAACCTTTAAAAAAACAATAACAAAATCTCAAGTATGATTAGACATTTACCAGATGTCAAAAAAATGATTAAGCTAGCTGTCATCTGTCAACATCAACTTTTAAAACAGAACAAATTAAATGACAGCTAAGCCACACCCTAAGACATATAATTTTTTTATTTTCATAAAAGCAATTATTATTAAAAGTGTTGATTCTTCCTTTAAAAGATCAAACAAAAAGAAGTTACCTGAGTTTCACTAAAATGCAATAACACTTCTGAGGGTGGAAATAGACTTACATTCTCTGCCACACGAACAAATTCATAATCATACTGTAAAAAATGTTCTGAAACGGCTTTTTAATTAGGAAAAAGCAAATTAAGGCTTGAAAGTTGTCACGCTGGACGAACAATTAGAAGCTCCACGTCTTAAAAAAACTGTAACATGTATTTTTGTTGGAACCGACACAAATCTCTTAGATACTTAGAAACATAGAAACAGTGATTTTTTTTTAAACTGACACATTACATAGAGTATAGTTCACTATTCCTTCGACAAAATTTGCCGGTTTCCTTCCACCAAACTAAACAACGTCTGCTCTTTTAAATCTTGCTTTCGACCTTCGATCGATCTGTGTTTCACCGGCATCTACCGTCCCCTTACCTCTCCTACGATCCTTGAAATAGGACAAACAAAAATCTTATCAAAAACGCTATTTGACCTCGAATCATTCCTAGCTTGATTTTAAATATATAATATAATATAATATAAAATATTTTATTACCAGTTCTTTTGAATGCATTTCAAACAAGTTTGTGTATACAAAGAATTGGGTAAATATTTTAACTTGGCAGGGGCGTACTTAATATATTAAACTAGCCAGAAACAAATCACCTGGAATAGATAATCTCCCAGCAGAATTATATAAAGAAGGTGGCCACGATATCATAATGGCGCTACAGTAGCTTATAAATGTAATAAGGATATAGAAGTCCCTGTCCACTGATTGGAATGTTGGAATACTTTGCACCATATACAAAAAGGGAGATATCTTTGAATGCTAATATTATTAATATTAGCATTCATAGTATTCAATGATATAATTTGAATAATAGGACAATACCAGGCTGTCGTAAATCAACAGTTCATCAGATTTTAACCCTGAGACAAATTCTAGAAAAAACACTGGAATACGGTGTAGACACGCACCACATATTTATAGACTACAAGGCAGCCTACGACTCTGTAAATAGAAGAGAATTATTTAGAGTAATGATAGACCTAGGAGTACCAAATCAGTTGGTAAATCTAACCAAACTAACCCTTGAAAAAGTTGAATGCAGAGTACGAATCCAGGGGAAACTCTCTGAACTTTTTAATACAAATAACGGGCTACGTGATGGAGACCCACTCTCCTGCGTACTATTCAATCTAGCTCTGGAAAAAGTAATAAGTACGTCACAAATCACAACTACTGGTTTAATATATAACAAATCTGTGTAATTCCTAGCATATGCTGATGATATCAATATTGTTGGGAGAACGGAAAACGCAGCACGAGAGGCGTATGTAGCACTAAAGGAAGCAGCTACAAAAATGGGTTTAATAATAAACATTAATAAAACGAAGTACATGAAAATAGGTCCGCAACCACAAATACGACGGCCACTTGATATAGAAAACGACGTCATCGAAGCAGCTGACGAATTTGTATACCTGGGAACGCTCATCAATACTGAAAATGACACTACTGTAGAGATAAACCGCAGAGTTTGCACGGATAATAGATGCTATTCTGGGCTTAATCTCCTTTTAAAATCTACAGTTCTATCAAGAAATACAAAAGTAAAACTCTACAAAACAATAATACGCCCAGTTCTAACATATGGTCAGAAACCTGGACTTTAACAAAAAGCAATGAAAACATGTTAGGATGTTTCGAAAGAAAAATACTAAAGAGAATCTATGGAGCGGTAAATGAAAATGGTGTCTGGAGAAGACGATACAACTTCGAACTCTATAGAATATACCAGGAACCAGATATCGTAAAACACATTAAGATAGGACGTCTGAGGTGGGTAGGCCATGTAATGCGGTTGGAGCAAACCGACCCAGCTAGAAAAACGCTACTTGATAGACCTATTGGTCAAAGAAGAAGAGGAAGACCCAGAACAAGATTCTTAGATAATATAGACCAAGATATAAGAAATATGGAAATAAGTGCTTGGCGGAGGAAGGCGATGGATAGGGACGACTGGAAGAGAATTCTTGGGGAGGCTAGGACCCACACAGGTGTTGTAAAGCTAAAATGATGATGAATCTGATTAAGTTAGGTAAAATAAACACCTTCAAAGATAATTTGTACTTTATTAAAAAGTTTTATTTATTAGAAACCACCGCTTATGGTAAATAACGTTAAAAACTAATTTTTTTACGATGTAAAATGCTTACCTTATGTATTGAAATCAATAACAATTCATTTAACTGTTATTGAAATTATGTTTAATTCAAAATGATAACTCCTAGAAAAAAATACTTAACACCTATTTCTTATGCATAAAACGATATTTCTTTGATTGCCATTTGTTGAACCCTAAGAAACTATCGCTTATTATAATAACAGTACCGAGTACTCAATATTGTTTGTTAGTACGAAATATTTATCTTTAAAATTACTAGGCGTACTTTAGATAT